GTGGTGCTGGGGGATTGAACCGCGGTCCCTGATGCTTTGATAAGCTTGTTCCAAGTAGGTGCTTTAGACCACTGAGCCATCTCTCCAGCCCTAAGAATTCATTTAATTGCAATGCAGAATTGGTATTGTCTGCATGATTTAAGAACCATCTTATGTCTCACACATACATGTTAGAAGAACTTAGGAAAAAATAATTGAGCACAGCTCTCCCCAGATGGGTATGATCCAATAGAAGAAAAAAAAAAAAAACAAAAACATAGAGACAGGTGAAATGTCCCCTGGATACCTCACGCTTTTGTCTTCCCTGGTGAGATTTTTGTCAGCTTTCTGCTGACACTAAAATTACAAGTCTGCAGAGAGGTGAGTTGAGGGTATTCTACTTAAAACTAGGCCTGCTCTTTGGTACACTGAACTGCTCCACACAACGCAGGAGGTAAGCGTCCCTGTATTACCGGGATATGAGTCAGTTGTGAGCAAGATACTAGGCAGACTATGGAAGGGGGCCAGAGGGATTAAGTGAGACATTGGGTGGCCTCAAATGAGGCCTTCACCTTCAGCCCTCCTAGAGCTCAGGACATGGTTCACTGCATTGCAGTGTGTGACTTTCTTGTTACAGTAATTATTGCTTTAATGGCTGATGAATTAGTGGGCTTTTTCTTTATGAAATACTAAATAATTTTGAAATATGCACTGTTTTCTGTGAATTAAGTCACTTTTACTTAGTACCTATATTAATTCTTATTACCTTGGCATGTACAGTAAAATATTTAAATTTCTATTTATTCACTTTATGAAAGAGAAATCATTTGTAAATAATTTTCATTAGAGATTTTCATTTTTTTCTTTTATCTTTATAAGTCAAGAAAGCTTGTCATTGAATAAGTAAAAAGACCACTACAACATCAGTACTAACACTTTACCATAATCTCCTTTCTTGTTTCACTATCACTTCACAAATTTCACGTAATTAGTCTTGCAATTAATGCAGCTCTTTACTATTAGAAAATCTATCAATGGACACAGACATATGGGCAGCAGTGACTGTTACGATACAGAAAACAAAATGATGAAAAGAGAAATTTCCTCTACCTTTGTGGAAACAGTGTAAGAATAGAATCATACAAAATTTGATGAGCAGAATGGCTTTTTTTGCCTCTTTACAATTTTTGTCCATTTAAAAAATACCTTTTTTCCTTTCATTAATAATAGATACAGCAGAACCTATTTCAGATGGGAAAATAAAAATAGAATAATGTTAGTGGTGCTCATGTGCATACATGGGTGTTAGATTTGTTAACTGATCACTCATTATTTCAGCAATTATTGTCAACAAATAAATGTGAAATGCAGTTCTTTTCTTGGTAAAAATTAAAAAGTTCATTATAGTAAATAATAGTGAAATTGATCTAGGTTAAGGCAAGAACTCAATATTACTGCTTAATGAGTTTTACATTTGTGACAAAGTTCCTTTATACTTTCTCTATTTCTGACTTTGGAATTACATTTACCTTCTTTTGATATTTCTTGAAGGTCAGTAGGTATCTGGTGTTATAAATACACCTCAGGGAACACACAGCATGTGGTACAAAATTGCATAGACAATAGAGAATTTTCTTTATTTTTTGGGAGTTAGGTATCTACTATTCATAAATTTTACAGATCTCAAAATTTATTTTGCCAGGAAGTGTTAAATTTTACTGATGCCATCGTTCAGGTTAGGCCAAGTAGTTGATGATGACTTTGCCTTCCACATAGGTGTCAGCAATTTCTCCTTTATTGTCTCCTAATTTCCAGTTCTACTCAAATAGTGAGGCTGTTGGCTAATATGGCCACAGAACTTCTGGATGCCATAATCCTAATGATTCTCACTTCTAGGCCCAGTTTCTCTTTTATGTTCCTTATACAAAGGACAATATTGATGACAGTGAATGAGGTAAAGTTGGCCTATACAGACAGTATATGAAACCAAGGTTTGAGCTGGCCAGATAGCTTAGAGGATTAAAACACCTGCTTAGGCAGGCACCAGAGACCAGGGTGTGATCCCTGGTAGGCAGTGCTGGCCTCGCCCCCCAGGCAGCACTGAGATGGCCATTAAGACTGGGTATGGTGGCATGTGCCTGTAATCCCAGTGCTTGGGAGGCTGAAAACAGGAGGATTACTATAAGTTTGATCTGTATAGTGAGACCCTGTAGACTCTGTACTAAATACATTACAAAAATATAAATAAAATTTAAAAAAAGGTTTGCCCTTTTGCATTTAAGGAATCTCATTAAATGTTGTATGTAAATCATGAACATTATGCTAATTATGCTCATATTGCAGAAGAGAAAGGATAGGAGTCCTCTCTACCTTCTTTTATTCACACTGTATTTAAATGACCCAGAAGCCATGAGAGGAACAAACTTAATTTTCTGCAGAAACTTCTCCTCTCATTGTTACCAAATCTTTTCTGCCACTGGCTGGGGTGCTTGGACCTGAAAGGTTTTCCCCAGTTGCGGCCTATCTGTTGATAACTTCTACAGGAGGACTGCCTGTGATCTTGGAAAGTGCAGCAATAACCTTCTGTTCCACGTGCATCATTGCAGGATCATGGCACTGATGGCAATATGGACCATGTGTTGAATTCCTCATAAAGCAATGTCAGACTCCACTGTGAGTTTTGAGTGCTGATAGAAGTGATTGGTAAGAAACAAGGCACAGGTTTCTATTTGCTATATTTTTTTTCTATTTGGATTCAGCTTTTCCTATGCCTCCAAGGGTGCTCTGCTTCCTCTTTTCCAGTCACATTCAGAGAAGGAGCTACTACTGGTCTTGCACTCTGTATTACATTCCTTTCATGTGTTCATTTATGTCCAATTAATCTAATTGTTCAGAAATTAGGTTGTTTCTTCTAGTGAGTTGTTCCATTTTTCCGCTTGAGACTTCAGATCAGCAAAAAGACTACTCAGCATCATCATCCATAACAACTATACTACAGGAATATCTCCTACATCATCCTCCTGATGCATAGATGTCCTCTCCGGTCCCCTGATCTACATTGTGCTGTGGAAGGCAGAATGAGCTGGCTGGGGCATATTTGGAAAGAGACATGCTAAAGGATGAGTTCAACCTTGATTTTTATGAAATATTATTCAGAATATATCTACACATGAAAATATTTTAATATAGAATTCACTATATAACTTTCTTTATATCACTTCTATACATATATAATACAAAAATAGAGTATATTTTTCATTAATACAGACTGTGTGATCTATGGAATTCAATGAAGATAGATAATTGCTTATATTTTCTGTCATCTCTGTGTTTTCCATGAGTGGGTGACTGTGAATATACCAAATTCTTTCACTTCTCTCTATTAGATCTCTGGAAAAACACTCACTCTGCAAATAATTTTTCCTCCTTCTGATAATGACCCACTGATTCCACAATTCGATGAATGTCATATAAACCTACAGAATCATACTTTCCATGACTTTATTGTTTGCCTGTGTAGAAGCCCAGTCTCTCAAAATAATTCTGGAAAAAAGGGTAACCTATCACTTCAGTTCTTGGGAACTGAATATTCTCCTTGTTCAATTTCTTTAGCTTATGTATAGATTAAGTTCTAGTGTTGGAATAAAATCAAAGTTTACTTGCAACTTTAGAGAAATCATGTATAGATAATTTATTCATATCTGATTTTATATCATTACTTTTTACTTCCTAAATTTTTTTTTGGTGGAACTGGGGATTGATCTCAGTCCCTTGCATTTTCCAGGAAAGTATTTCCTAAAAGTTTATCAGACATATTCTGTAATTGACGTAAAATAGAATAAGGAAATAAGTGCTTGGAGTTTATAAGTAAATGAAAGGCCAAGAAGATTTATGGCTCTGTGTTTCATAATATATGCTACCTGCAAACATAGACAATGCCAGACAATCAGATTACAAGGTCTTATTTTATTTGAGCATATCATGTGATATTTGAGCATATCATTTATGAAAAATTAGTATGCATAATATGAAGGTAAATGAAACTGAGTTTTGCTTTGGAAACTGAAAGTGAGACAAGAGTATGAAAATACCCACCATATATGATAGTTTTTATGCAGAGGTAGCAATGCAGTCCAACAGGGAGACTCAGAATACAACCATGACTGAGAAGTGCTGGCTTCTGAGTAAATTGAAGACATGAAGTAGACTTTAGTGGGGAAATGGTATAAGGACCATTATGATAAATGTTTACATTTGGATGAAGTTGTTTAATAGGTAGAGATTGGTGAAGGAAGCAAAATTATAATTACCTATGGATTTTCTTCAGATTTCTTCTCTTTGCTTCTTCTGCCATCAAAATGAATAAAGACAGCAGACCTTCAAATTTTATTGACTTACAGTACATGTTTTTCTTTGAAGTCAGCATTGGGGTCATAGCCAACATGGTTCTGCTTCTCTTTCATGCCTTAAAATTCTTTCTGGAGCATAGGCCCAGGCCTACAGAACTGACCATTGGTCATCTGGCCCTTATACACACAGTGATGCTTATAACTGTGGGATTCATAGCTATAGACATATTTGGGTATTATGCCTTGGGAGATGACATCACATGTAAATGTGTAATCTATTTGTACAGGTTAATGAGGGGTCTTTCTGTCTGTATCACCTGCATGCTGAGTGTCCTCCAGGCAGTCACCCTCAGCCCCAGAAGCTCCTGTTTGGCAAAGTTCAAACAGAAATCCCTGCATCAGAGCCTGTATTGCTTTCTCTTTTTATGGAGCCTCAATATGTTCACAACTTGTCATTTCTTAATCTCCACTGTTGCCACTCCCAATGTGACCTCACACAGCCTCATGTTTATCACTCAATCTTGTTCTCTTTTTCCCATTAGCTCCTCTCTCAAGTACATATTTTTTTCACTGCTAGGTTTCCAGAACATGTTCTTTATAGGTCTAATGGCACTCTCAAGTGGGTATAAGGTGGTTCTGTTGTGCAGACATGAAAGGCAGTCCCAGAATCTTCACAGCACCAGCTTGTCCCTAAAAGTATCTGCAGAAAAGAAAGCCACCAGGACAGTTTTGTTGCTCATGAGTTTTTTTATTTTCATGTACATTTTGGACAGTGCTATTGCAGTTACTTCTGAAATGTTGTGGAATTTTGACCAAATTCGTCATTCTGTCCAACTGTTAGTTGGCAATGGTTATGCCACAGTCAGTCCTTTGGTTCTCATCATTGCTGAAAGAAGAGTGATAACATTCTTTAGATCCATGTGTAAGAAATATGATAAATTCTTGTGAATTCAATGATAGATCACTTCTGTAGGAAACAACAATTGATTCAAATTTATGTGGAATCACTGAAATGTATGTAATGATGGATTTCCTGTCAAACCTATTTATTTTGATATATGTTAGAAAAATA